CACCACCACAAAAAAAAAAAAAAAAAAAAAAAAAAAAGAAAAGAAAATAGGCAGATATTTGACATAAAAATGCAGTAACAGATATATAATAGCAATGCTATATATAGAAAATATGGGTAATAAGATTATCTTAAACCAAGAAATATGAAAAATGAAAACAAAGAAGAGAACCAGGACAGGACTACTAGTTAAGTGTTGAAGCTGTTTGGTGTGAAATGCTAAGTACACTAGTATATGATGTATACTTGGTGGAAAAAATAAAGTGTGAGAATAAGCCAGACGGAATATGACCTTACCATACTTCTAACAAGTTTGGAACAAGGCTATATATCATATCCTACAGGAAGAATAAAAGTAAAGGAAAGGTGCCATCTCTACTGAATAGGGAGTCCTAACAAAAAGGCTTCAAAAGGACTCTGCATCTTTAATAATATAAAAAGGCTAGGACACAAACAGCATAATCTAAAATGCCATTAGAAATACTTCACATACAAAAAGGTCTAAGTAAAGCAGGATTTTATAAAGTGATCAAAAAAGAAACACTAAGGGGGAAAAATCTTTTAAGATTAAAGAGGTTTTTCAAAGGACAAGTTGAAGTGGCTGTAAAATTTATGAGGCAGCATTAAACTTCAGTTCTAAGTAACAATAAATTATTCACTATAAAAACATACATGTGTCAAATATTATAAGCCTCTTAAACTTTTTAAAACAATTTCTTGCAGAACTGATTAGATATATTAGGTCAAGATTAGCAGATACTAACTTTTTCATTAGCACATTATGATCACTCAGAGTAAAGGGGCAAATTTAGAAAAGAAATAAGAAGACAGAACCATCAACAGCTGATACACTACCACATGTGATCTGATGTCACACATCATATATATTTCACCTTAAAATCAGTTTTCTTGGCTTCAGCTAAAGTACATGTTATTTTTAAATGCCTTCATGTATGTAAAAACTACAAAAATCTGTTAACTAATGTAAATCAAACTGAAATTTTAAAAAGAATCAAGTTGAAACTATTAAATTAAAAGAAACATATGATACCCTGAGATCTTTTGTTTTGGCAGCCCTAATTGACCTTAGTGATTCTGACATTTGACAGATGATATTTTAAGCATGTCCTTTCCAGCTCTTTCATTGTCATATTCCTCACAGTGCGTGAAGGCAATCGCTATAACCTACATCCAAGCTTCCCTCCATGTTTTCTAAAATTTATGCTTCCCTCAACATTTTCTGAAATGTTAAAAAGAAAAAAAAAATCCTTTTAGGCCATTTCCTCTGCCACAATATACCCGTCTCAAAGGGATTTTGTACAGATTAAATATGTGGCAGTGTCTAACACAATCTACTCGTTCATGCATGCATTCACTCTTGAATATAGATACTTACAGAATTCCTAACATGTTCCTGCCCAGTGCTAGGGGCTAGAAATATAGCAAATACGGCAAACAGCAAAAACACAAGTTCCTACCTCATGAAATTACAATCTAGCACACAGGACAGATAGTAAGCCTCTACGCATAGGACGAAGGCAGCAAAGAAACACAGAGAACGAAAGGAGTAAATAATGGGGTCACCTAAACTGCCCTGGGATATGAGATAAGGCTTTTTTCACTTTGCGATCTCTGAAGGATGGGTGGACTATCTAGCAATCCTTTTGCATTAAAATGTCATTTAATAACAGGTGACCAACAAAGAGAATTAAGTTATTTTTTACAATTCTGGGGATTTTACTATGGTTTCATTTCTCAAAAAAGTCAATGAGTAACAGGTGAAGGATATTCTCATTGTATTTTCTCAAACTTTATCCTGTGTTCCAAAGAAGAAAAAAATCTATTCACCTCGACTCCCTGGAAATCTCAAGTCTATTTCCTATCCTGAACGCTTTTCTTATACACACCTGAATCCTTGCAAATATTTCCACGACTATGCATAGCCACTGCATTCAAACTATCCATGTGCTCATCTCTCTCCCCCACTCATCTAAAGCAGTGGTTATAAATCAAATGTCCGGAGGACTTAACAGATGAGTGATTTACTGCCAGATAAAAGGATATCTTTCACTTCTACAAAGACATAGTGTCTGTCTCTCCCCTTCTGTTTTTTGTTCACAGATGAGGTCTCACTCTATTGCTCAGGCTGGCCTCACACTCCTGGGCCCAAGCTATCCTTCTGCCTCCACCTCTTGAATAGCTAGGACCACAGATGCACAGCTGTGCCCAACCCTCTCCCCTTCTTAAATCACAAGATCCCTCTTTCCTACCTTTCTTCTTTCACTTGATAGAACATAAAATTAGAAAAACAAACACTTCATTTTCCTCTTAACTCTACTTAAAGGGGAAAAAAAAAAAAACTCAAGCTCAATAACAGATGCAATAGACATCAAATTTGGTGTCAGGAATTAGCAGGAAATCGTGAAGGCATACACTAATGGGGGTAACCAAGTACTACTTAGCTCCAACCTAGGGCTGTCTCCTGGAAAGATTTCTAGGTGTCCAGTTTTAAAGAGAAGCCAGAAAGTTGGGCTTTTATATGAAATCCCCCAAATGTTAATTTTGACAACTCAGTTAAAATTGTTAAAGACACTGTTGAAGTCCAACAAAACAAATCTATGATTCATTCAGTCCTGGAAGATCACAAATTTTCAAACTATGCTCTAAGCTCTAAGATACAGGAAACTACTTTAGTTCACCTTTATACCATAAACTCCACATACATTACATCTAGAAAGGAACCCAGAATTTAGCTGGACTCTTAGCAGATATTTTGGCAAACAACTGATGTCTTTTGCAGCAAAACTAAGAATTATATTTTTCAGACCACAATCTCTTTATACCTCTATATAAAGAGATTGCTTCGAAGGCTACAAAAATTCTACAATTATACCTCTTCTAATTGTAATTCTCCTATGAATATAAAAATAAGTATTTTAACACCACACTTCCTATAGACTCATCTATTCGTTTCTTTTTACTCTTCTGAACATAATTATTTCATATATTTCTTCCTTAATTATTTCACCTCTTCCTTTTTGCCTCCCCATTTTGTTTCTCCTTTCTACTGAAATAATTTCATATGGACTGGATATCTCGCTTTTGTTTATCTTTTTCAACCATGATATCTCAGGTCTGAAAAACATATAAACAGACTACATCAACTGTGGAGACATTTCAAATTACTAATAACATTTCTAGATCTGTTTAACGAATAAACCAAAAAAATTATAGTGGACAAGAAAGATTATACTGGTAACAGAAACAAATTTCTAAAGTTAAAATTACCAAGAGAATGATGAGGAGTGAAGTATAAAGTATGGTGCATGGTAATTGACACTGTCCTATATTTTAACATTTCAAGGAATAAGGCCAAACGGAAAAGTAAAAATTTGATAAAAGTCCAGATTTAAATCTATCCCTTCCCTGAAGCCAAAAATTATGATACCATAATAATGGCCTTTTGGTACATTTCAAAAATTCAGAAATTTTTTTTTGCACTAAAAAAACCTATTTAAGTAAGAGTAAGAAATACTCGAGTAAGAAAGCACAGTCTAATGGAGTTTATGCTTACATTCATTACACCATTAAGTGAAAACAAATATTGTTCAAGTTGGATTTGCAGGATATTATATTTTGTTCAAGTTATTGATAACGCTTTTAATGTATGCTTGTCATAAAGGAAAATACATAATTGTGTCATTTAAAGATGCTCAGGGACCACTTGTCAAGCAATCAAAAATATATATGAAGTTAATAGGTATCTATTAAATGGCTAAAAATATAAAATAATCTTGAATGTGCACTTAAGGGAAAAGTAAACTACTTACTATTTAAAAAAAAAAAAAAAGGAAAAACAGAATGTATAAATCAGCTCCAAAGACAGACTAAATGATGAAACACATTCAAAATCCCATTCTCTTAGCATACCTGTAGACATCAGTTGGCGACTGTACCAAAGTGTTATCTTCTCCAGAAGAAAGTTTCCATGATTCATTTAATTTGCGTTCACTTGTCTCCAGCTCACCCAGTACCCAGGCTGGTAATCCCTCTGGGCTTGAACCTTTTGCTTGTGCTGGATTTGGTTCATCAAAATAGATGGACTGATTTTTAAAAATTAGAAAAATTATTCTTTCAAAATGTACTATAATAAAACCACTAAAATTTCCATCAAGTTTCAAGTTTGATAACAGCCTTTCAAATACTCAAATTCAATTATATTCAAACATTTTAAAAATTCAATATACAATGAATTATGAGATATTAAAATACATTAAGTGATAACATATTTACATTTTAGTTGCACTCTACTGTCTAAGAAATACAATAAACAGAAGTACATAACAGATAAATCTGATAGTTATGTTTATATTACAAAAGGAATATTAGTTAAATATGAAAAGTTAAATACAAAGTTTTTTTTTAATTATGTGCTATCTTATCTCTTTCTGTAATCACTAACTACTTTACACACACACACAAAAAGAAATCAGTGGGAAGAGAAACACAAAACAATGCAACCCAGGAATTAAAGTTCGGAATCCCTTGACAAGATGGGAACAGCAGAGTGAAAAACCTGGGATTTAGTTCTGGTCATACTACTAACTAGCTGGGAAACCCAAGAGAGTTCTCTAAACTTTCTCATCATTATGATTTGTTAAATCAAGCCCTTCCCCTTGACTCTATGAAATTAAGTGTGAATGGGAAAACATGATACAACATACTCATATCTTCACATCTATATGTGCTTCATAATGTTCTACCTTTACACATTTCTAAAGAAAACTCTGCATTGACTGCACACCTCTGCAACAATTCTCCCAATCCTACAGACAAAATCCTCAAGGCACTGTTCTTTAGGGAAGATGACACAAGACCCTCCACTCCATATGGGACATGCACAGAAATTTCTTTTTTTTTTTTTTTTTTTTTTGAGACGAAGTCTCGCTCTGTCGCCCAGGCTGGAGTGCAGTGGCCGGATCTCAGCTCACTGCAAGCTCCGCCTCCTGGGTTTACACCATTCTCCTGCCTCAGCCTCCCAAGTAGCTGGGACTACAGGCGCCCGCCACCTCGCCCGGCTAGTTTTTTGTATTTTTTAGTAGAGACGGGGTTTCACCGTGCTAGCCAGGATGGTCTCGATCTCCTGACCTCATGATCCGCCCATCTCGGCCTCCCAAAGTGCTGGGATTACAGGCGTGAGCCACCGCGCCTGACCAGAAATTTCTTTTAAATGATATAGTCATTAAAACTTTTGGCATTGTGCCACAGAAAAGAGAAATTATTCTCTAATGTTCAGCATGCCACTTGACTAAACTATGCTTTAAGTAAACTGATAAAATATAAAAAGTTTTAAAATACATCACACAGAATTCCGCAGTTCATTGAAAAAATACATATATATCCTAATAGCAACTACCAAAGTTACCAATACCAGGTACTCCAGATCTCTCAAGTACCGGCACTCAAATGCCACACAAACCAAGGTATATTTTATGGTTACAAGGACCAGGACAGTGACAATTTATCCACCAAGCATAATCATAACTGCCTTTGCAATAAAGTTGATTTTGACAATGAAATTAATTTAAGTACAGAAAATGACTTTTAAACTCCAACTTATTACTGTCATTTTATTAGAGTAGAAAGAATTTTTACAAATCACGCACTTCAACTTCTCATGAATGTTTAAATAATGTATATGAGTTTAAAAACTAGAATGTACTGAATTACATAAAAATTACCATTATAATCCAGTGAAAATTAATAAAAAGTAAAGCTCAATATAAAAAATTTCATTTTTAGTTTTTTAGAAATATTATTGAATATTGAGGGATAAATAAATCAATAAGGATACTCCTCTTATAAGCAATACATGTATTTTATCAAAGGTGGAAAAAAATGAATCAAGAAGAAAAAAACAATTTTAATATATTACCTAGCACACACAACCTAATAGTATTACCATTCCCCAAAGGGATGGTAACTTGATGCTTTTTATAAAAAATGAAACTTACATATTATATATATTTTGTTGTTGTTCATTGATACCTACCATGTATGAAGGTAGAATTTTTAGTGTCCCGGGTTCAGGTCGGTGTGTAAAAGGGCCTTCAAGCACACCCCGTTTAAGCATATGCAATAACAATTTTGCATACAGGTTCCGATTCTTCCTCCCCATTATTCCTGCACCTGTTCCTGAAGGCTCACACAGCTTTCTAATCCAAAGAGCACACCTCTGCCGTTCTATAAATACATAAGAACTATTAGAAACTTGATTTTTTATAAAATGAAACATTCGATTACAAAGACCTATAATAGCACCTGCTTTAGTCTAAAAGAAGGACCAACAAACCTTTTCTGTTAAAGGCCAGAGAGTACATACTTTAGGCTTCATGGGCCATATGAGCTCTGGCACAACTACGCTGCCACTTTAGCGTGAAAGCACTCAGAGACTGTAGGTAAACAAATGGCATGACTATGTTTCAATAAAACCCGACAAAAAAGACTGTGGGCGGGAGTTGGCCCATGGGCCATTGTCTGCTAACTCCTGGTCTACAATTTAATGTTATTAGGTAATTGGTTAATGGGAAAGACAAACGCAAAGAAACATTTTCACAAAAATAAAATCTCTAAATTATCATTAAATAACTTTTTAAATTTTTAATTATTGTGAGTACACAGTAGATATATATATTTAGGCAGTACATGAGATATTTTGACACAGGCATGTAATGTATAATAATCACATCAGGATAAATGGCGTATCTATCCATCACTTCAAGCATCTATCCTTTGTGTTACAAACAATCCAATTATACTGAGTTATTTTTAAATATGCCATTAAATTATTATTGACTGTAGTCACTCTGTTGTGCTGTCAAATACTAGGTCTTACCCACTCTATGTGTTTGTACCCATTAACCATCCCCACTTCCCTCTGTACCCATCCTTCCTAGCCTCTGGAAACCATTCTTCTCTCTATCTTCATGAGTTCAATTGTTTTAATTTTTAGCTCCCACAAATTACTGAGAATATGTGAAGATTGTCTTTCTGTGCCTAGCTTATTTCACTTAACATAATGTCTCCCAGTTCCAGCCATGTTGTTGCAAATGACAGGGTCTCCTTTTTTATGGCTGAATAGTACTCCATTGTGTATATGTATCACATTTTCTTTATCCAGTTGTCTGTTGATGGACATTAGGTTGCTTCCAAATCTTGGCTATTGTGAACAGTGCTGCCACAAACATGGGAGTGCAGATATCTCTTCAGTACGCTAATTTCCTTTCTTTTGGGTATATAACTAGCAGTGGGACTGCTAGATCACATGGTAGTTCTATTTTCTAGTTTTTCTGAGGAACCTCAAACTCTTCTCCATAGTCACTCCACTAATTTGTATTCCCATCAAAAATGCAGGAGAGTTCCCTTTTCTCCACATCCTTGCCAGCATTTGTTATTGCCTGTCTTTGGATGAAAGTCATTTTAACTGGGATGAAAGATTATCTCACTGTAGTTTTCACCTGCATTGCTCTGATGATCAATGATGTTGAACATCTTGTCATATGTCTGTTTACCATTTGTATGTCTTCTTTTGAGAAATGTCTATTTGGATCTTTTGCCCATTTTCAAATCAGATTATTTGATTTTTTTGTATAGAGTTGTTTGAGCTCCTTATATATTCTGGTTATTCCCTTCTCAGATGAAAAGTTTGAAAAGATTTTCTCTCATTCGCTGGATTGTCTTTTCACTTTGTTGATTGTCTCCTTTGCAGAAACTTTTTAACTTAATGAGATCCCATTTGTCCACTGTTGCTTTGGTTGCCTGTGCTTTTGGAGTATTACTCAAGAAATCTTTGCCCAGACCAATATCCTGGAGATTTTCCCCAATGTTTTCTTTTAGTAGTTTCCTTGTTTGAGGTCTTAGATTTCAGCTTTCAATCCATTTTTATTTTTGTATATGGTGGGAGACAGAATGCCTTTAAAAACGTTTGTATTTTTTGCTGTGAAAATTATGTAATCACAGAACAAACTCATGAAATATTGGGATTACTTTGTACTAGAAGAAAATTTAGTAAAATTCATCAGTGAAGCCATCAAGTCCAGGGATTTTCTTTGCTGGGAGACTTTTTATAAATTTCTGTGATAAAATTTTGTTATAATTTTGCATCTCTAAAATAATTTTAGATATATTGAAAAATCTTTCTACAATTTTAATTATGTAAACCTTGAAAGAGATAAAATGCAATCTCTGATTTATCTAAGCATTTTCAAATTACTCTAAAATTAAATCTTGAATGTTTTATTTATGAAATTCAATAATATCCAGGGAGTTGTAGCTGATGGGTTGAGGGTTTTAACATCTTTAAAAATAACTGAGCACTATTTACATGCCATTTTGTAAAATAATTATTCTTTTCAAAATCTACCTAAAAATTACAGCACAGTTTAATCCCCATATAAAGGTCTATATTATCTTGCCATGACACAGGATTGTTTTAGGTCTCATGAAAACTATTCTGGTAATAATTTTTTATCAGTCTAAGTCAATTTGAGGATTACATATCTAATGCAAATCATAAATCTGCTCTAATCTTTTAGTTTACCAAGGTCATATTCATTTATTGTTTTACCTACAAAAATCACTAAGACCAGATTTACTATGGTGCAAATATCATTTCAGGTTGGAAACCTATGCCTTTAAAAATTTTTGTATATTTTGCTGTGAAAATTATATAATCATGAAACAAACTTCATGAAATATTGGGAACACCATGAACATGAAGAAAATACAAAAGTGTGGCCGGGCGCGGTGGCTCAAGCCTGTAATCCCAGCGCTTTGGGAGGCCAAGGCAGGTGGATCACGAGGTCAGGAGATCGAGACCATCCTGGCTAACACGGTGAAACCCCATCTCTACTAAAAATACAAAAAATTAGCCGGGTGTGGTGGTGGGCCCCTGTAGACCCAGCTACTCGGGAGGCTGAGGCAGGAGAATGGCGGGAACCTGGGAGGCAGACCTTGCAGTGAGCCGAGATGGCGCCACTGCACTCCAGCCTGGGCGACAGAGTGAGACTCCGCCTCAAAAAAAAAAAACAAAACAAAACAAAAAAAAAAACGAAAATACAAAAGTGAAACTGATAAACTTAAGTAAATAGTTCTTTAATCTACATACTTTCCACATCCCATAGCAAATTTAAATCTATATAATATTCTAATGCCCAGAATTTAGTATAATTTGGTTAATGAAAGAATGCATTCCTCTATGTAAAATAATGGGAAAACCCATTATCACAAGTAGAATTTAGCAATAAGATGTAATTTATTATTAATTTCTAGTTCTTGATTAAGATGTGAGTTTCAGATTGCTTATTATAAACTAAATAAAAGAAAGCCATGGATGTACCAATACCGACAACATGTCAAGGAATCAAAGATTACAATTAATGAATTTTATGTAGCTAAAATCTTTTTTTTTTTTTTCTTCTGAGATGGAGTCTCGCTCTGTCGCTCAGGCTGGAGTGCAGTGGCATGATCTCGGATCACTGCAAGCTCTGCCTCCCAGGTTCATGCCATTCTCCTACCTCAGTCTCCCAAGTAGCTGGGACTACAAGTGCCCACCACCACGCCCATCCAATTTTTTTTTTTATATTTTTAGTAGAGACGGGGTTTCACCGTGTTAGCCAGGATGGTCTCAATCTCCTGACCTCATGATCCGCCCGCCTCGGCCTCCCAAAGTACTGGGATTACAGACATGAGCCACTGCGCAGGCCTGGCCCCTAAAACCCTTTTTTTAAAGAAGATAAAATATGAGGATGGTTTGACTTGAAATACATTTACAATGAGAAATTTTAATGCAAATGTTTCCTAATCAGCAAATCTAAGACAAAAAGAAAAAAAGGTAGTGAATATCAGAAGAGGATGCAATATAAAAATATCATTAGATATCATTCAAATAATCATGAACGAGTCATGGGACATGAAATATTCATTTGAAAAATAGCAGAGGAAGAAAGAAGAGGTTAAAGCCTGACAAGGTCAAGAGAAGAAGGCAGAGGAGGAGATCTTCAAGGGAAGACCATGCAACTTATCCAGGACTAGGAAAGGCTGAAGGCCCTAGAACAATAGGTGACCACAGAATGCATCATTTATATATCATACTCCCTGCTCCTAACACAACTCCCTGGAATAAATACAATAGTCTCCACTTATCCATGGTTTTACTTTCCTGCATTCACCCACACTCGAATGCAGTCCAAAAATAGGTGAGTACAGTACAATAAATATATTGAAAGAGAGAAATTACTTTCACACCATTTTTATTACAGTATATTGTTATAATTGTTCTAGCTATTGTTGTTAATCTCATACTGTACCTAATTGATAAACTAAATTTAATCATCAGTGTGTATGTATAGGAAAAGACAGAGCGTATATAGGTTTTAGTATTATTAGCTGTTTCAGGCAGCCTCTGGGGGTCTTGGAACATATTCCTCAAGATAAGGGGGGATTACTATATTTAATACTGAGTCAGTTCCTCACTGAATATAGAGTCCACTCAGACATCTCAGCGAAACAGGCAACTTGGAAAAAGTAAAAGCCATAGTTTCTTGATCTCACTCCAAACCTACCCCTCAAAAGCTACCAAGTCACATTTACCTTTACAGGCAATCTTACACCTACTATGGCTTAGAGAATCTTCCCAGTCCCCAAAATTCTCTCCAATTGCTCTCTAGTGCCTTAAGTTACATGAAAATTCTCTAACTTGGGAAAAAGACTTTCATTCCATAATTAGAAATAACAGGCCAGGAATTGGAGACAAGATAGCAACAAAACTTTATTCACACTGGATTTTGTTCTGCCAACCAATAAGCATAAAAGACCAATAGATTATTTTCTGCTTTGATAGACACAAGGGCCGGAGAACAGGAGAACAGTAGGCTCCTCCTGTCTCTGGCCCTTTCCATAGAAAGATGAAAAATTTGCGAGAAAAATTTCCGTAGAGAAAAGGAAAAGATGTGAGAAAAAAGGTTGTAGCTAACTTTAGAGATCCATGTGCTGTAAGCCCATGACATGTGAGAGGAGGCATCACAATAAGATCTTTCCATAGTTTGGCAGGACATTACCACTGAATTTCTATCTACCCTTGAACAACTCGGTGCAAACAGTCCCATGTCAATGGCAAAAATTGTTACTAGAGAAATTCAGTTTTTCTTCCATGTTGATAGTTCATTGGTTTGACTAAATAATATAAAGAAAAAAATTAATCTTAAGAATCTAATTTTCAAACATAATCTTACCTGTCCTATGGGGTAATTTTAGAACATAGGGCTTCATATCAACCACAAAGTGATCAAATTCAGCATCCAGCTTCTCCCATTTTTCTTCTTCACTTCCCACTTCCATAATCCAATCTGTAAAATATTTTAAATCAAAATATTAAGGATATGTATGCTGAAAACTACAAAATTCTGATGAGAGAGATTTTTTAAAAACCGAGTTAAATATCAGTTCTCCCCAAATTGACCTGTAGATTTAATGCAATTCCAATCAAAACCTAGCCGTATTATTTGTAGAGATAAGCTTAATTCTAAAATTTACATGCAAAGGTAAAGGAACTACAGAGTCCAAACAATTTTGAAAAAGTACAAAGTTGGAGAACTTATACATTACCAGATGTTAAGATGTACTCCAAAGCCACAGTAGTCAAGACAATTGGTATTGGTGAAAGGACAGACAGATCAATGGAAAAGATTAGAGAGTCCAGAAACAGACCAAAACAAATATGAACAACTGATTTTCAACAAAGGTGTGATCCATGAAGAAATGACAGTTATTACAACAAATGATGTCATAACAACTGGATATCCATATACAAAAAAAAAAAAAGAACCTCAACCTAAACTTCATCCTATATATAAAAATTAACTCAATATGAATCACAGACCTAAGTGTAAAAATGTAAAACTATAAAACTCTCAGAAGAAAGCATGGGAGGAAATCTTTGCAAACTTGAGTAAGGCAAAGATATCTTATATACAACATTAAAAGCACTGTCCACAAAAGGAAAACCTGGCTGGGCATGATGGTTCATGTCTGTAATCCCAGAACTTTGAGAAGCCCAGGCAGGAAGAATGCTTGAGCCCAGGAGTTAAAGAACAGCCTGGGCAACATGGTGAGACCCCATCTCTACAAAAAAACAATTAAAAATTAGCCAGGTGTAGTGGCATGTACCTGTAGTCCCAGCTACTTGGGACGCTGAGGTGAGAGGATTGCTTGAAAGTGTGAGAGGTCAAGGCTGCAGTGGGCCATGATTGCACCACCAAACTAGCCTTGGTGACACAGCAAGACCCTATCTCAAAAATAAAAAATAAAGCTGATATATTGAACTTCACAAAAAAATAAAAACTGTTCTGCAAAGGACTCTGTTAAGGAATTGAGAAGATAAGCCACAGACCAGAACAAAATATTTGCAAATCATACATCTCATATGAGACTTATATCAAGAACACATAAGGAACTCTCAAAACTCAACAATCAGAAAACAAACTACCCCAATAATCAGCAAAAAAATATGAGTCCCCTTACCAAAGAAGAAATACAGATGGCAAGTAAGCACATGACAAGATGCTCAACATCATTAGTCATTACAGAAACGCAAATTAAAAACTATACTGAGACACCACTAACGTTAAAAATGCAAACAATACCAAGTGCTAGTGAGGATGTACAACAACAGGAACTCTCATGCATTGCTGGTAGAAATACAAAATAGTACAGGCACTCCGGAAAACAGTTTAGCAGTTTCTTACAAAAATAAACATACACTCAGCCTATGACCCAGAAATTCCACTCCCAGGTATTCAAGTGAAAAGAAAAATCTATATACACACAAAAATCCAAGGGTGATCTTTTAAAATAACCAACAAACAACTGAAAAAAGCCCAAATGTCCCTCAACTGGGGACTAGATAAACTGTGGCATATCCACACAATAACACAGTACTTGGCAACAGAAAGGAATGAACTACTGATACACACACAACTTCAAATCCTTATGCTAAGTGAATGAAGCCCTTCTCAAAAGGCCACATACTGTCTAATTCCATTTGTGTGACACTCTAGAAAAGGCAAACTGTATAGGCACAAAGAACAGATCAGCAGCTCACAGGGTTAGCAGTGGGGGCAGAGTCTGAACATAAAGAGATGGCACAAGGAAACAATTTGGCATGTTGGAATTGTTCTGTACAGTCAATGGAGGAAGTTATAAGAACCTACACATGTATAAAAACTGATAGAACTATATGCCAAATAAAAGTGCATTTGCATTTGCTGTATATAAATTTAATTTTTTTTTTTTTTTTTGAGACGGAGTCTTGCTCTGTTGCCCAGGCTACAGAGTGCAATGACACAATCTTGGCTCATTGCAACCTCCGCCTCCTGGATTCAAGCAATTCTCCTGCCTCAGCCTCCTGAGTAGCTTGGACTACAGGCACACACCACCATGCCTGGCTAATTTTTGTATTTTTAGTAGAGACAGGGTTTCATAATGTTAGTCAGGCTGGTCTCGACCTCCTGACCTCATGATCCACCCACCTCAGCCTCCCAAAGTGCTGAGATTACAGGCATGAGCCACTGCACCCCGCCAAATTTAAATTTTTTAATCCTCTTTAAAAACTGTAAAATATTGGTCATCATACTTCTTTCTAATTAACAAGAAAAACACTGAATACAAAGAAGGTGAATCCCAAAAATCAAAAGTGTAGGTTTTGACAAAATCTGTTAAGTTAAAAATACATCCACACTCTACATGTTCCTTTAAATTGTGAAATGTCCTGATAGGGATGTGCACTACCTTTACATTATGAATGGTGCCAATTTATCATTTATTCCATTTCCAAATTCTGTATTTGGTGAAAAGCTTTGTTCTGCCTCATAAGCTATCTTGCTCCACAAACTGCCCTCTCTCTGCTAAACCAGCTTCTAATATTTACCACATTATCAAATGGTTTCCACCATTTCATTATCAACAACCTCTTCATAGAAAGAAGAGGCTTCTACCCTGTCTCTGTAAGTAAATCCTAGCTTTCGCTTGCTGACTTTACTTTCCTCAGTCATCAGAGGTAAGCCAAAGTCTCTCATAATCTCTCATTCTCTCTCTCTCTCTCTCTCTCTCTCTGTCTCCTCCTACCCCCCCCCCCCCCACCTACTCTCGCATGCATCCTCTGTAGTCTTTCACTTTCTCCACCCAACCACGCACTGAAAGGAAAACACTTACCAAGATCCATCCTGCCACTTCCCAACTACTGCTCTTCCTCCGCCAGCCCCAAAATCCCTCATGAGGCTCGAGGCTCCAACCATCTGACTACCATGTACTCCCCTTTCTCATCTCAGTCATCTTGCAAAGAAACCCTTCTGATACCAGTCTCTTGTCCTCTTTTTTCTTTCTTTCTTTCTTTTTTTTTTGAGATGGAGTCTCACTCTGTCACCCAGGCTGAAGTGCAGTGGCACAATCTCAGCTCACTACAACCTCCACCTCCGGGGTTCAAGGGATTCTCCTGCCTCAGTCTCCCGAGTAGCTGGGGCTACAGGTGCGTGCCACCACGCCCAGCTAATTTTTTGGATTTTTAGTAGAGACGGGGTTTCACTGTGTTAGCCAGGCTGGTCTTGATCTCCTGATCTCGTGATCTGTCTGCCTCGGCCTCCCAAAGTGATGGGATTACAGGCGTGAGCCACCGCGCCCAGCCGCCTCTTGTCCTCTTAAATACTCTCTTCTTATTCCACTAGATCTTTCCTTTCTACTTGGCAAGGCTGCAATCCCTTGATGCCCTCCTTCATGCTCTACAGGGTTGCTGCAGAAAAATGGCACTGCCTTGTAGTCAGATGGCTTCCAACATTACCTGAACCCTCAGGAGTCTTGCTCTTTCCTACTCCACAAAGCAGCTTTAAAACTTTTCCCAAATATCTTACAGCCCCTTAAATAACTCCAGCCTCTCCTAACTCTCAATTTAAAAATCATACATCTTGCTGCATGGAAAAAATAATAGGTGGTACCACCCCAAGATGTTATTCCTCCCACCTCTCAACTTACCTGTCAGAGAAAACACTCTTCCACCTCTGCTCCTGTATCAGACGCAATAACTCTCCCTCTACCTGTCCTCTATCAATTGCCTATTCGCTATGTAAAATTATCCATCTCCACGGACTCCTTCGCCTCTGATGGCAGCTGAGAAATATCTCAAAATCTGCCTGCTTCCCTATTCTCACTACCACGATCTCAGATAAAGCCCTGCCCACCACTTCCTTGAACTATGGCAGCCTCATCGTCTGTCTCCCTACTGCCAGTTTTCTGTATTTGAGTCCATTTTCCTCACCTGCTCCAGAATGAGTTTCAAAGCTAAGCCTATCGCTTCCTGTTTAAAAATCTCCCCTCATTCTAGCATTCCACTCACCAAATCCACTTACTTTCTCCACTTCATCAACTTCTATCCAGACCTCACCCCCTGTATATTACCTCTTCTATCCCCATCATGGTAGTAAAAATCTTTCAAAGTTCGCCAATGATCCACTAATTGCCAAATCCAAAGGGCTGTCTTCAGTTTGCATCCTATTTGACATCTCCACAGCATCTTCCACTTCTGACAACTCCCTACTCCTAGAAACTCCTCTTTGACTTCAGTGGTTCCATTCACTCCTGGCTCCCCTACTGCCTCAGATCATTCCTTCTCGATCTCTCAATGGCTCTGGCTTCTCCAGTCGATATGGACTCTCCAGTGCTCTTTCCTTAGTCTCCTTTCAATCTGACTCCACACTCTCGCTTAGTGATTGCATTCAGTACCATCACTTCAAATACTCATTTCATGCCATTCACCCTTAAATTTTATTTCAAACTCCAGCTTCTCTTTGCAACTCCAGACTCATTTACAATAGCTCCTGGACCTATTCACTAATGTCCTGTTTATTACTTAGATTGATATGTCCAAGAAAAAAATCCTTCATGTTTTTCTCCATAAATCTATTCTACATTATACTCTGCTTGATGACATCATCATCTACTTCATCTCCCAAGCTAGAAGTTTCAACGTTCCCATCCTCTAAACCCCCATAAACCAATACATCAATAAATGCTGAGAAATATCTCAAAATCTGCCTGCTTCCCTATTCTCACTGCCACAACCTCAGATAAAGGCCTGCACACCACTTCCTTGAACTGCGGCAGCCTCGTCATCTGTCTCCCTACTGTCAGTTTTCTCTACTTGAGTCCATTTTCCTCACCTGCTCCAGAATGAGTTTCCTAATGACAAAGCTAAGCCTATCGCTTCCTGTTTAAAAATCTCTCATGACTGCCTAAAACAGAATACTATCCAAACCCAAAGTTAGCCATAAAAGTACCTTTGCATTTAGACCTGTCTCTCATAACACACAC